TTAATTTTAAAATTGAAAGATCGAAGAAATTATGTTGAAGTGAAATAAACCGGAGTCTCGAAAATCAAATCTGTTCATGTCAAGATTCATAAGGTCCCTTTCCATGTTGTTGCCAAACTTAATTTCATTCAAATTCTTTTAAGGAGAACCTAAAACTTTTCATTTAATTACTGGGATAGTCTCTCTCCCTATGTGCCAAAAATATTCCAGTAAATAAAACATTAATCTTATAAAATATCTGTTTGCAAAATTTTCAAATTAAAAAAATTATAATTCTATTTTGAAAAATTATAAAATCAAGTTAAAATTACGTCAGGGCTAGAGTTTCTAGAAGAGAGAGGCTTCGGGTAATGAGTGCCTTGAGCGTGGGTTAATTTTAAAAATATTTTTAATTTAAAAATATGTTTTTAATTTATTAAGTATATTTATCTAAATTCATTGAATCTCACTTATTAATTTAAATTTTATTTTATACTTGCTGTAAATGTTTTTATTTTTTACATTTAAAAACTTCTAGTATTTAAATGAAAAAACATATATTTATAGACAAAATAACTGAAGTTAATGAATTAAAAATGATAAAAATTAATTCTAATTAGCATAATTAATTCCTTCGTCAATAATCCTAGGTTCCTTATATAAAGGCGTTGTATGGGCTAATTCAAAACAATAACCTGAACAAGTTTTCTACTCTCTTTTTTTCCTATCTTTTTCATTCTTATTTTGTTTTTATTTTCATATGCCTACTATTTGATTGTAAAGCTTTAGATTTGAATCATTTGATTATCATAGAGAGAAATTTGAATATGTTTTCTAAGTTCATAGATGTTGAGTAATTGTTGAGTAATTGTGCAATTTTCAAGGTAGTGTTGTTAAAAATTTGAGAAACTATTTGTACTTACACCAAGCAACAAGCAATTTAATTTTAAGGATAAAGAGTATAATCCTTGTCAATAACATATTTATTTTCTTATTTTCATCCAAAATTCAGTAAGTACCCTATTTGCATTGTTTTAAATTTTAGTACTTACTGTAAATATAAATATAAATTTGTATGTGGTTCATTGATGCTTATATTAATTTTCAATTATTATTATTATTATTATTATTATTACTATTATTATTATATGTTCACATTGCACTGTACCAAATGATTAATTTTTATTAGCGATTAATTTTTTTTAATTGTATTTAATAAAATTTTCCAATTGAGAAAATAATTTTTGGTGTTACAATCAACACAAAAAAAAAAAAAAACTTTAAGTATATAGTTGAGACTAGATATTTGACACCCATTAAGCTGCGGATTCAATAAAAAGTTTCCTAATGAAAGAAAAGAAATATTAGTCTATAGACAAATCTTTGACAATATCATTAAGTTTAGTTTAGCAAGTCAACCTTAAAATTTTCTAAACCAACTTCATACTTAGCTTAAGTTTCAAGTCAAATAATATGGGAGTTGTCTTGACATGATCCAAGCAACTTGATGGGTCCAAAAATGGATGACTAGTTAAAATAAGGCTTAGCATTAACAAAAATTCAAGATAACATCTTTCTTTGTTAAGGTTGAGATGATATTATTTGATTTGACTTGTATTTCATAGTTTAACATACCAAATTAACAATTCAAATAATGAACTCTACTAGGTTTAATAACTTTAATTATGGTAAATATTTTTTATTTAATTATATGATAATAAAAATAAATACTTGTAAAATTAAAAAAATGCTGATATGTTTATCTGAGATCATAATGGCCTTATAGAAAATAAACCTAAATAAATCATGAAATCATATTCCTAATCAACCTAAGTTAACCTAATAAACCCAAGACTCGAGTCATAGGCTCCACTATGTTTAATAACTTTATTTTTTCTAAAACTATTTTAACTAATTTCACAATAATAAAAATAAACACTTGTAAAATTAAGCATAAACAAAATGTTGGGATGTTTGTTTGAGAACATAATAGAAAAAAAAACAAGTTAGAACAAATTATGAATCCTGGTTCAAAATAAAAGAAATATTAAAGGATGTAATTGAAAAAAATATCAATCTAACTAAAAAAACAAATGTTGAAGGATGAATTCGACAAAAAAAAATAGCAAAAAAAAAAAAGACAAGCCTTGCACATCTAGGCCTATTTTTTACCTTAGTTGAGGAGGCAGACGACATTTCATCCACCTTTTTGTTTTCAAAGAATAATTGATGTAGACAATGCGCTATCTATATCTTCAAAGTCCAGCCACTAGTAACTAAAAAATTGAGATTGTGTGTTTCCATATTAAAAAAAAAAAACCTAAATTTTCAACTCATCCCAGCCCGAAATGCCAATAAGACATTTTAACAACCCAAAAAGCTCTAATCATGCTCAAAAAAATAGAATCTAATAAAAAAAACATTTCTCTTTATTAACCTTGATTTACCTTTTTCTGGTAAGATGAAGGACAAGAAACACCACAATGAAGCTTTCTTTGTATAGAACTCATTAACATAAAAAACCATGATTTTTTTGTTTCTGAATGTATACAATCAAGGACTCTTTTGCCTTTCTTTCTTCTCTGTAGTGTTTAAGGACATCAACATGATAAAAATGTATTTTGGAATTAAAAGAAGCAATTAGACAACTAAAAGGACCATAAAGAAAGTTTCCAAAATCCTAAGGCATAAAAATGACAAAAGGCATTGAAATAATGTAATTTTTTTTTAGGGGAAAAGGCTGAAATTTGTTTCTAATTTTCAATTTAAGTCTCTCTATTTTGCATTTCATGAAAAAAAATCAATTGAATTTGTTTTTGTAAAGTCAAATGTCAATCCAATATTGAGTTTTTTGTTTTCGACAATGCAACAACCCCATACCAAATTAATTGAATTGAAATGCTAAGCCTAACTCAAAACAATTTAATATGGAATGATCAAATAGAACTAAGAAAAAATTATGTGATTGAAAAAAAAAGGATGAAAAAACAAATAGCGAGTCTATCGTAATTAATAGATTGGATTATACTGAACTAAACAAATAATTGTCTTTATCTTGTGTTTGTTGTGCTTTAGATTATATTGGACAATTTGTCTTATTTTGTGTTTGGTATGTATTAGACAAGACTCAACCAGCATAAAATCTAGACCAGTCCAAGTTTAAGGAAAAAAAGAGAGGAAGGATTGATTTGATCTTAGCCATTCAAAAACTCAAGTCATCCTATAACTCAATCAATCCGAGATAAAATATAAGTAAAAAATCCATTGATTTTTTCATATATATTTTTGTCAAAACCAAGTTGTTTTAATTTTTTTTAATTTAAATCAATCCATGTTAATTTTTTTGATTCGTGACTTAAGTTTTATCCTAAATCGATCCTCGATTTAAGTTTTATAATTATAATAATAATAATTTTTATTTTTATATTATTTTAAGTTAATTTAAGTTGATTATCTCAACTCATCACCTGGAGTTTGCCTTGAGTCGGATTTGTAATGGTTGTAGAAAAATGCTTTTACTCTTGGGGCTCGACTTTTGTTAATTGTAATGGTGTAATTGTAATGATTATATGAATGCTTGGATTCTTTGTTAAAAGATGTTTTCAAGAATCTAAGGCATTGAATTTTCTTTTCATATAACTTGGAGTTGGCTGCGTCTTCCTTTTGTCAAGGTCGCTCCAGATTTCTAAATCTCTTTCACATGACACCGTGTTTTTCGGTGATAATTTGAGACAACAATTCCTTCTTTAGAGTTGCTATATCCACTAACGATTTTGTTATTCCCACCATTTAATTTCTTAAAATTGATTTATTTATATATGTTTTTTTTTTAAATTATATTTCAATTTAACATATGCTGTTCATCAATGTTGACAGGAAGAGATTACAACAATCAATTTAAAAAGCAAGTAGGGAAAATAATAATAATAAATCTTCCTGTACATTTTCGATTTTTTTAGATTGGAAATAATAAATCTTCATGTACATTTTCGATTTTTTTAGATTGGAAATTGAGTTGCTATAGAATAATTTATTTTTATCTTTTACTGTAAATTCAACATTTCAGCGGTAACTTTTTAAAATATATTTTATTTAAAAATATGTTAAAATAATATTTTGTATATTTTTTTAATATTAATACATTAAAACAATCTAAAATAATTAAAAAAATTAATTTTTTTAAAATTTAAAATTTCATGAATATCTAGTTGCTAGTTACTTAATTGCTATTTTATTTTTTATTTTTTATTTTTTATTTTTACCGTGCGGAATCACCCTCAATAAGGACACCAATTATAATTTATAATTTTATACATGCAGAATTACCCACCCTCATGCACACTCACCGTTATTGGCTCCAAGCCAAGCAGCCAAGCCACCCTCTTGGCCTTTCCCTTTCCACCGCTCCCTCCCTCCCTCCCTCTCTCTCTCTCTCCAACACTTTTATTTCTCTTCAAATTACAACATTAGACTAAAAACGCTAATGTGTATCCCTTTTTCATATCTCTCTCTCTCTCTCTCTCTCTATATATATATATATATATATATATGTTCCCAGTTGCATCCCAAATCCAAACATTATATCAATTTTGTTCTGAGTTTTTTTAGAGTTTCTTTATTGCATCCTTTATCAAACGTCAAATATGCATAAAAGTGTTGATATGCATATTTGATGTTTGATAAAGGATGCAATAGAGAAACTCTCCAAAAACTCAAAATAAAATTGATATAATGTGTAGATTTGGGAGGAAGATAGAGATTTTCTCGAAATAATAATTTTAAAAAAACTCTTAGAAACATAATGAATATATTGACTATTTAAAAATATATGATTATTTTTTAAAAGTATTTTTATTTAAAAATATATTAAAATAATATATTTTTTATTTTTTTTTAAATATTTTTAAAATTAACGTATACAAATAATTTAAAAATATTAAAGATATTAATTTAAAATAAATAAATAAATAAAATTTATTTTTTAAAGATACTTTAAAAGCACAAATACAACATAAAACATCTTTTTCATCATTTCTTCTCACACAAAATACAAAGGAACAAGAGCTCTCTCTCTCTCTCTCTCACTCACTCGCCTTTTCTTGTTCCTTTGAAATGATCTCTCTCTCACACTCTAGAACATAAACATTCTTTCTTTGTTTCTTTATTTGCATGGCTCTAAACACTTTAATGAAAAACAAACCTTACAATGTTGTCAGTAGCGAGGGAAGCGGTGGAGACGGAAATCCTCCAAGTTCACCACCATCGCCACGGCGTCAGACAAGCGGTTTCTCTCAATGCCGTCGGCGGCTCCGCTCGAAGGTTCCCTTACAGTATTTCCGCAAATACAGCATAGCTGCCGGGATTTTTGGCCGGCGGAACATACAGTTCCTGCTGCTTCTGTTCTTTCTCTACTTTTCTGGCTTAATGATGTGCGTGGGCCGGTTCTCCAATTTCTTGCGTCACTCTCGTGAGCCTATTGCGATCTATAAAAGCCATCTATTGTTAGAGAAGTTTTGGCATGATATCGAGACTGACAATTCTACTGCTCTTGAGGTTTTCAGCCTTTTCAAATCACATCATCATTAGTATTCTGTAATTTTGCTTTCTTTTTTTTCTGTTTTAATTTTATTTCCTGATATTAGTATTCTGTAATTTTTTTTTTCTGTTTTAATTTTATTTCCTGTTTGGTTGTTGCGGAGATGTGGAAAAATAAAAAGGAAGGGAAGAAACAAAAAAGAGAAATGAAGTTCGAAACCACCGAATTGCTATTGTGGGGCCGAAAGAGAAAAATTTATGGGGAAAAAAAAAACTCAAATGACAATCAGGTGTATAGAGAGTGGGGTTAATTTGATAATGATTCGAGGCGTTAGTCATTTTGATAGGCTTTTGGTTTTTAATAAAGTGGGCTAATGTAGGCTTTTGGTTTTTAGTAAAGTGAATTAATGTACCAAGTCCTAATTCAGGAGTTTTGGCATTATCCATTTTTTGCCAACAATGTCCGCTTTTTTCCCCCTTTTCCAGTTATCTTCTGTTTGGCAATTCAAAAGGAGAATGAAAGTGCAGAAACCTTGTCCCGTGTCAACTGCTAGACATTTGGGCTCAGTTGAAGGTAAGTCTAATTGTTACCGATGGTTTTCAGTCCAATGCACATCCCTTTGCATCAGCCCCTTCTGTTTAAGGTTAATGTCGGCATGCTAATCAACGCCATGGGGGAAATTAGCTGAGTTTTAGGAAGTAAGAGTGTAAAACCGATATTTGTATTTTCAAATGCAGTGTCATCTGACCCAACGGGTTACTTAATCGTTGAGGCAAATGGCGGTCTGAACCAACAACGCTCTGCGGTATGTTTTCTATTTACTGCTATCATTATAGGTTATAGCCAGAGCATTATGGGCTGCCAGATATGCAGGGTCTTGAATGCATTGATATTGATATAAATTTATCTAATAATCTGCTCATGAGCTTGTCCTCGTCTATCCGTTATGGCTTGTTGTAGATCTGCAATGCAGTTGCCGTAGCTGGAATTTTGAATGCAGTGCTGGTCATCCCTCGTTTGGGTTACAACAGTGTCTGGAAGGATCCAAGGTGAGCTGTTAAATTATTTTCTCATTTTCTTTTTTAATTTCTTGACCAGGTTTTTAATTTCAAAACTGGCGAGTTGATATTAAGGTCATCTTTGGCTACTGTAATGCACATTTAATTATCTAAATACACATGAATTTAAAGACGTGATGTTAGTGTAACCTGGAAGTAATTCAGAGATGGCAGAACTTTAACTGGGACTGAGACACGTGATTGTATTCAAATTAGCTGGGAGTGCTGCGTCCATTTTTCAGGCCTGTATCTCTAAGACTAATAATTAATGGCTAGCATGACATCTTAAAGACATGATCAAATACTGATTTTGTCATATTTATTGTCTTTTAAATTTGAGATGGCGGTGGTGGGTGCTTGCATTAGCAGTTCACGTGCTGCATTAAAATATCACTCCATCAACCCACCATGCTGCTGTAACTTTTCAGGCAATACTTTTTTTGGTATTTTATTTCTTTTAGTTTGTGGATGAACCCCCTATTGGCATGCGTGTGTAATCAAAACCACCCTCCTTTTGGAAGTAAATTTAAGTTCTTGATTCAAATGGCACACCCAACAGTGGTGAGTGCCCCACTGTTTGTATTCGGAAACTTGCTAAAATTACACTTGCTATAAGTGCAAGCTTATAGGTGAAACAGTGAGTTCCACCCCTGCATTCCCTTGCTTTCTATGCTTTTCTTTTGAAACTGAATCTTTCCGCACCAAATCAGTTATAGCTAAAGATTCATTTGTTTTACAGCGAGTTCAGAGACATCTATGATGAAGATCATTTTATAGCCACTCTTGAGGGTTATGTGAAAGTGGTTAAAGAGTTGCCTGATGAGTTGATATCAAAATATGACCACAATATTACTAATATTCCACACCTCCGTGTTGAAGCATGGGCTCCTGCTAAACATTATTTAGGAAAAGTTTATCCTGTCCTGCAGGAGCAAGGGTATGTGATTAAGCATTCTTTCTTCTTCTATCTTTCTTATCATTTTATCTGTTTACTCAATTAGAATGCATCTGTTTGTAAGAAAATGATCCATCTGTTAGTTGCTAATTTGTCCCAGCTATCATATTTTCTGTGTTCACTACCTTCTAACCTGATATCTGTTGAAACATACTTCTAGCTCGTTTTTTACTATTTGCTTGTTCAAAGCAGGGTCATCCGCATTGCACCCTTTGCCAATAGACTGGCAATGAATGTCCCATCTCATATTCAATTGCTCAGGTGCATAACAAATTATAGAGCATTGAGGTTCTCTTCTCCTATAACAACACTAGCACAGAAATTACTAAACCGAATGATTGAGAGGAGCTCAATGACTGGTGGAAAATATGTTTCTGTTCACCTTCGATTTGAGGAGGTACTAAAGCTCATTTATTATTCTATTCTATCTGTTTTATGTTGAAATGTTGAGGATCAGATTTCACATAACTACGAAGATATCCCTGTTCATCTTTTAGGACATGGTGGCCTTCTCATGCTGTTTGTATGATGGAGGAGATGCTGAAAAGTTTGAAATGGATTCATTTCGTGAAAAAGGGTGGAAAGGGAAGTTTAAAAAAAAAGATCTTGACTTTGTAGCTGGTCGTAATCGTATTGATGGAAAATGCCCTCTGACCCCCTTGGAGGTATCCCTTTCCTGTACCTCTTTTCTTGCTATTCTGACTTCTTGCATTTTCATTTGAGCTCATCCTATCATAAAATGGCTGCTATTGTGATTTACTTGCAGCCTTAAGACAAATTTTCATGACCTTCTATTTGCTCTTATAGCATCTTAAATTAAAGAGAATGGCCATGAAGAGTGCACAACAGCTTTTCTCTAAGTTCCTTGTACTTCTACGTTCTCTTGGTTTGTTTTGTGCCATGCAAGATGTTCATTACTGTTTTAAAACTGAAAATAAAGATTTTGTTGCATTGGCTATAAAACAAAACAAAACGAAATTCTAACAGTTTCAATTATGGAACGCTAACTAATTGCAAATAACTCTTGATTACATTTGGTATTCCATCTTGTAAATCACCTTATTGGTTTTCATGAAATTCTAACAGTTTCAATTATGCAACGCTAACTAATTGCAAATAACTTTTGATTAAATTTGGTATGGTTGGTGCACCATCTTGTAAATCAGCTTATTGGTTTTCATCCCTGCTGATCTAATTTGCCAGTAATAACTCTTTTGTACACAATGTTTTTGCTGTCAGCATAGGTTGGGATGATGCTGCGGGGCATGGGATTCGATAACAACACTTCAATTTATTTAGCCTCAGGGAAACTTTACAAAGCAGAACAAAATTTAGCTCCTTTGTTGAAGATGTTTCCCCTTCTTTACACCAAGGAATCTCTTGCAACCTCTGACGAGCTTGCTCCATTTCAGGTAAATCCAAGTACTCACTATTCCTCTCTTGCATTGTATGCTTAAAGGAAATTGTTGGATCAGAATCCAGGATGTTTTTTCAAATTTACTAACATACTAAAGTTTAACCAAACCATACAAGTCTAAAACAGGCGCCACTTTACTGCTCCTGCTTCACTTACAGCTCATGTTTTACCTGAGCTTGTGACAGAAAATTTGAAAGGCATATTTATTTGACTGTGGATTTTGAGCAAGACCTGATAACTCTGTTCCAAATGTTATGTTTCCTTAATTATAATTTCTCAAGTATTTCATCAATCACTAATTCTTTTCCAATTCATTTTGTTCTTTGACTTTCTTAACAAAAGAGAAAAAAGATAAGCAGGTAAGATGAGAAATTTTGATTTGGAAAGAAAGCATTTTTGGAACAAGAAACTATTAAATTGAGAATGGTTGATGCTGGGTAAGGGACTTTTCAATTATATCTGATACTTCATGGACTAGTTAATTAGTTTTGATAAACTACAGGGATCAAGTTATAATTAACTCTATTTTTAAAGTTTCTGTTAGTTCAATAGGATTTTGGAGTGTCTATGGATTAATTGAATTGAATAAACTGCTGAATGTCTAGATTGCTATATTGGTTTTGAGTTAGTGAGTTTATCTTTTTGAGCTACTTGACTTGAATATAAACAGCATACAAATGATTTTGAATATGGAAACAAACCCATGCATAAAGCTGAACAAGTCTTGACTGCTATGCTTGTGCTTATTTTCCAAATCGACCCAAAAGCTTGTTCTTCTAACTTGCTCAAATTCCTTGTTTTCTCTTATTGAAGGGCTATTCTTCAAGGCTAGCAGCTTTGGACTACACTGTGTGTTTGTTCAGTGAGGTTTTCGTGACAACTCAAGGAGGAAACTTCCCACATTTTCTGATGGGTCACCGTAGATTCCTTTTTAACGGGCATGCAAAGACCATTAAACCCGATAAACGCATGCTTGTTGGTCTACTAGAAAACATGACAATCAGGTATTTTTTCCGTCAACTGCATCCATTCCTCTTTGTTAATAATATACTTGTGCTACTTGGAACTACAACGTTGAGAATTTTGGACTTGCAATCTGCTTCTATCTTTGATTATCTGTTGATGACTTGATAGATAGCAGTTACAGTGGAAAACACTGACTGAATAATGTCTTGCGTGCCACTTAGAACTTTGGCATGTTCTATCAAATGGTAGTCTGTATATTTTGAACTTTGGAAAATTCTCCCGAGTTTGTATTTCTCCAGTATTTTATCACAAACATAGTAAACATCAATTGTTAAACCATTTTAGATAAGAGGATATATTGTTTTAAGGTTTTTCATTAACCAGGGAAGACTGCAGGTAAAGTGGTTTTGCTTTATGTATAAGTTAAAAACTAGAGTGCAAGATACTACTGAGCTTTAGGATTTGACAAAGGCCCAATACAGAAAAAAAAGAATTCTGATATTATACATTTTGCGCAAGACTGCATCCAAGCATTCTCTACATTGGTTTGAGTTTTTTCAGCATCCAGTTTCTTGTTGGCTGCAACAAGTGAATGTTTGGTTTTTAGCTGCCTCCGATCTTCATCTTGCAAAGTGTGAGCATGGCATTTGGGGGTATGATCGCAAGAAATGGTACAGAAACATTCGTATAGCCGATCCCAAAAATGTGGAATTGGGGCTTGGTTGTTGTTATAACATAGAGATTGACTTGCTAGCTCTATTCAACCGGCTGGCTCTAGTTGAGCTCCCCACCTCCTGGACTCTAAATATCGTCTCAGTTTTAGATTATTTTTATTGTTTTATGAAAATTAGGCGTCAACTATCATAAATTTTATATTTGTAATTGGCTATTTATATTTCTTCTATTGGTAAAATGCATTTGTTAACGTCTTTGATATCAGAAAATTTCAAAGAAAAAGAAAAGGATTTGAATGAATTCTTCTTCGGCGAAATTCAAATTTAGGAGATGTTTTGAACAGTGGACAAGAGCTTTCTTTTCCTTCGTCTTATCTATATTCAGCATAGTAATTTCGGTAGATTCTGCAATGTTTCACGTGGACAATCCTATATAACAAACTAGACTATTGTCTGGTGTTGTGTTTTGTGGGAGGTATGTAAAAGCAGTGAGAATTCTGTGTCCATGACATGGTATAATTAAAAAAAAAAAAAGATTTAAATAAAATATGATGTATATTAATGATATCTTTTTTCAAATATTAAAACTTCAATAAATTGAATTGATTTATATTAACATATCAAATCTATGATCTAGGATCTAAGTTATAAGATCATGATAATTCTATAGAAAACAAATCAAAATAAATTATAAAGATAAATTATAAAGGTAAATTTATAATCAACTCAAATAAAAAAAGGATAAAAGCACTATTGAAGTCAATTCAAGTTAACTTGTCAAACCTATAACTCGGATCATGAGATTGGAATAACTTTATATAAAGTAAATAAAAATAAATTATGAAGCTTGATTTCCAACCGCCCCTAAAGAATAAAATAAAAAAATCAATTAAAAAAAAAGAAAAAAAACCCAACTCAACACCAGCTAACTTATTAAACTTGCAACTTAGACCATGAGACTGAGATAACTTCATAAAAAAATAAAACTTCATTTCCAATAGATTTAATGTTAGATGTTGTTGGATCACGAAACGAAACATCAATTTGTCAATCATGAATTAATGTCAGTAACAAGATAGAGTGGTAGTAAACATGTTAATCATCTAAAACTCAAAGGAAATTCAAGGGAGAGTAATCGCATGTTGACCAAATGCTTCACAAATAGAATGAAAATCTACTTTAATGTGTTTTGATCGCTCATGAAAGACTAGATTAACATAATTGGAATAACACTAGTGTTATTAGCATGAAAGAGAGTTACATTAAGCTAAAAAACACCAACTTCACCAAACATACCCCTAAACCAAACAATCTCAGAGCAAATGAATGATATACTATGATATTCAAAATTGATTAAAAACTTAAAAACTTGATCCTACTTCTTACTCTTCTAAGAAATAAAAGCTTACTAAGAAATACACATCAACTAGTAACTGAACGATGTGTACAAGGACAACTAATCCAATCTTCATTACTAAAACTCATCAACTATAAAGATGTCCTAGTAATAAAAAAATTACTTATAACCAGGAGTATTCTTGAGATATTGAAGAATACATTGTATAAACGGTCAAGTGAGAATGATAAGGAGCATCTATAAACTAGCTAACATACTACACAACAAAAGAAATATCAAGCAAAGCAATTGTCAAATAATTTAAACTATATACTGGCTGCATATATTAGGAAGGATCATAAAATAACATGCCATCATTTGTTTTTATAGCTTCAAGTTAACTTTTATTGGTATAAGGGTCGAGTTACTGGAATGAAGATCAATTAAGATGGTAAGCTCTTGAGTATACTTATATTGATGCTGGAGTGTGCCAGTCAGACAACGATGCTTAAGACCAAAAACATATTGTATGAGACTAAGATATTTCATATGAATAGAAGTGTTGAGATGTGTTTATATTTGCTCAATCAACAAAAAGTTAGATTTTATAATAACAATATCATCCACATATACAGGAAGCATAACAAGACCATTGATATTCGTTCAAAGTAAGAAATAGGAATGAAATTAATTCTGAATAAAGTTAAAATCAAGAATGATAGAACAAAACTTCTCAAACCAGGTTTATTGTTCCTACTTCAATAAACTTCTCAAACCAGGTGTATTGTTCCTACTTCAATCCATATATAGATTGCTTCAAGTGATAAATCTTAAAATAAGAACGAGTGAACATGCTAGGTGAAGTAGTTATTTATTTATTTTTTGATATTTCCATGAAGGAGTGACCACCATTTCATGGCAGTAAAAGCTATAGTAGTGTGAATAATAGTCATCTTATCCATAAATGTAAATGTCTTTTTTATAATCAAGTCCATATTCATGTCAATTCTCAAGAGCCATTAAACGGGCTTTATACCTTACGATATAACCATCATAACATAGCTTTATGGTGTAAAATCATTTGTAGATAAAAAGTTTGATACCATCAATGTAAGAAACATGTGTGATTATCTTAAAAATTTTACAACTCTTATTGTATAGCTTCCTACCAACATGCTTGAGTGAAAGTCTAATAGTAAGATTGAGGTACACTAGTAGTATTAAGAGTGACTTAAATATTTATATAAGTGAATTCATACCTATTTGAAGGACATGAAATCCAAGATGACTAATAAGGTTAGCCAAGAAAGGACTAGCCATTAGGGTAAGGTAAAGCTATAGAAATGGTGGACGATATCTCTAATTCACAACCTTACCTTAAAACATCCAATAGATTAAGACATATCATAAGAAACAGAAAGAAAAATTAAAAAGGAATAATGAAAAGCAAAAGATTGAAAGAAATGCTGATTATTAAAAAAAAATCATCATTTAATAAATAAAAAGTTTATTAGCATCCAAATCAAAACACATAAACCTTTTATGGACATTACTATATCCAAGAAAAGTGCATCGAATAGAATAAATAACAAGCTTGTGATATTTAGTGGATAATAAGTGAACAAAAAAAAAATATAATCAAAGATATGAGGTGAGAGAAAAAATTACTTATAAAGTGTTTATCTATAGAATAAACCAAAAAGATAGCTATGAAATTAGATTGGATAACATTAAAGAGGGCTAAAGTGTGTTGGTTTTGAAGTTGTACTTTATAATGTTTAGTGATATGCCTTTTTTTCTCCAATAATGATAGAGTTTTTCTTTTTTACTTTAATGCTTTACAATATATCTGAACTCTTTGTAACTATAACAATGAGTATATGACTTGGATCTTATTTTATCGTGTGTAGTATATACCCTATTAACCATCTCAAATGTCATGGTTTTTAGAGTGAAGCCAAGCTGAGAGTGACTAAACATTGTTATTTACTCTTTTGATTTATTTTTTTCTTCTTTATTTTCTCTCTCTCAATTCATCTCTTCTTTCTCCTTCCTTCTTCACTATTGTATCTAGCCAAGGCTTCTGTTTTGACTGTTGATCTTATTTGTTGTAGTTTAGTCTAAATGCAATAATAAAAAAAAGGTGAATGCTATCAATGGTGGTGTTGTTGTTGAATAGGTAAGAAGAGAAAAGAAATAAAATATAGTTAATGATATAATAATTGGTTAGTGACTTATGGCAGGGATGGTGGTTGGGATTCGACAAAGAATGATGGAGATGTGGTGGTATAGGCTGGGTTTGTATAAGAGAGATAGTGTGAGGCTTTTACGTTTCTTGCTTTTTTTTTTAATTTTTTCCTTCTCTTTCTCTCTCTTTCTGCATACTTTCTTATTTTTTTCACATTATCCTTTTCTCTTCAAAATTGTTTTGGCTCTTTTTCCAAGGTGGCTAGGTTTTTTGCATCCATTCTTCCCCTTTTACTCAAAATTTCTTTTCTATTTATAGTCATTTTTTTTATTTTTACCCAATTACTTAGAGAGAAAGTAACCAAAATTTACTATGGTCTCTCTTTTTATTTTTTTTTGCATTTCATCTATCAATCTTCTTTTTTAATTTTTACTTTTCTCATTTTTTGGCATTCATTTTCAAAAAAATGTCAACAAGAGAAAAATAGTAAAAAATCATGGAATGGGTACATGAATGGTTGAAAGCATATTTTTTGAAAATATTTTAGAAATAGGGATAAAAATTGAGTTATGAAAAAATTGTTCAATAGAAAGATTATAGTGATGATAATTACTGATTGCCAACTCCAATTGAAACTTTTGAGAATAAATATTTCTAAGATAAACCTACATCTCGATAACAGTAATGAATGAAAAAATATTATTCACCATATATAGTTTAATAGAACCTAGTAACCAAGAGATATCATGGACATTCTTACTCTCCTAAAAAACAATCTCTCTAAGATTAGTAGGCGGTCTATTTAAGTGACTATACTTCTTTGCACAAGCATCCTGAATTGAAACTCTTAATTGGATTAGTTTCCGACATTATAAACTTAAAGAAAAGAACCCTTAATTTAAAAAGACTTTAAATTACCAAGAATGGAAACTTCTAAAATAACTAATTGTATCGTTACAATGTCCAACAAAAAAAGAAGAAGCTTTTTACACTTAGAAATTGCAAACATTATCATATCAAGGAGTCTCAAGAAAGAAACCCAAAAAAAAAAATCTCTTAAGACCTAAAATAAAGAAGAAAAAAGAAACACTTATTTAGAGAATTAAGAATATAATTTAGAATTCCAACTCTCAAACCATGTCAAAATGATCCAAATACCTCTTAATTGAGGATCTCGTCCCATTAATAATTACAACATACAATCATTCTATATCATAATTTTAATTTTTTTTAAAAAGGTAACTATATACAACTATTTCTTATTAATTCAACTCTTTACATCAAGCAATTACTTGTACAATAAAATTATAGCAAGATATTACAACTAACATGAATGTCTCATGTCATCTAGATTGTAGAAGCTTTTTGATTTTTCAGTTGCTTTGCCTTTTCATCCAATTTTTCCTTTTAACGCTTTAGACATTAAAACATTTTTCTATGATTTCATCCCCAATTATTATATATACAATCTTTATATTTAATTTGTTTTGGCTTTCTCTTAAATATATGTTATTGTTTGATGTGTCTTTTCATCATATTCAAGATTTCTATTACGTTGTTCGATTATTTATTGATACTTATTATGGAATAGAGTTTTTTAGAGGGATTATTTTTTATGTGCTTTTGAATTGCAAACATTATTTTAATTTTTCTCTCACAAACCTTTGATATTTAATGCATAGCTGCACCTTTTTTGATATTTTTAAACTTTAGTTTCTTTGGGTTTTCACCCATGTTATGATTATGCATTGAATGCATCTAATATGTAGTGCATCTTTATCGTTATTATTTTTGGGTTGTGCAATTCTCTTTTTTCATTTTATTTTTTTAATTCATAATCATGATTGATAATTTATATCGGCTTATTGTTCATTTTAAAATTAAATGAGTCAATTTATTTAGTTTTTTATTCAACTTCCCTTCCTTTTTTTTTTTACTTTAGTAATTTTTTTATTTTATTGTAAATTATTTTTTTGTGTTTTTTTTTAAATCAAATCAAAATCGAGTCTTTTTATACTCTTAATCATCCATTTATAACCCTAAGCTCCATGCCATTCATGTAACACTATATAATATATCTTCTTTTTTTTCTTACCTGCCATCTATACTTTTTCTCTTTTTTTTTTATTTGTTATATCTCTGTTGCACAAACATAAGCACAAGATACTAATAAGTTGAGTGTCTTGTGAGCTCCAATATAATAATTGGATTTATTTATAAGTGACCGTTATTCTAAGTAACAATTATATTAAAATAATATTTCAAAATACAGTTATATTCAAATTATATTATTTTTTAAATATTATTTTAACCTAATTTTTAGTAAACCTTGCTATTTTTTTAAAGAAAATACTTGTCATTATTAAAGGAAAGGGCACTGCCTTGCAAAGGCAATGCTTTGCTCTGCAAGGCATTATTCCAAATTTGTACAGGTTGGCTGTCTTGAAGAGTACTCCTTTTCATGCCATGTTGACGTCTTCAATCATTTCAATCCCTCTCCACAGAATGTACATTATGATTGTGCCCGTGTACGCCTGTCGGCCTCTCTTTTTAGTGTTTCCGATGGCTGTAAGAGTACAGCGACCACGCCTCCTCTGGGCCCATCCATTAAATTGGTGGCGCCAAAACATCATCTAGCAAATCCCGAGCCATTAAATTCTATCACTTGGCCTCACATAGACTGCCAGTACATTCCATGGCCTGGTGCCATGATAAATATCGTCCATCTCCGTTTTCAAAATCTCTTGGTAGTGGAAGCTATTTTTAAATATAGTAATGCAAGTGATTGACAAGCCCATACTAGGGTGCTTTGCCTCTTGTTTTTTTAGCGGAAATCAAGAAAATCGAAATCATAAGGCAATGAGTACAAAACAAGAGTCAATAAATATAGTAAATCAAGAATAGAAATGTGGCGAAAATCAAGATCTCATGCAGGCTACAAAACAAGGCCACAGAACAAATGCTAGAGCACGCTGTACCATATAGGACATGGGTGGTCTGACCCACAGACCTTTTTGGTTCATAGGCAGTCAGTCAACAATTAGCTCATAGGGGAACCAACCGAGCATATCAGCTCACTCTTCACCCTGGTGATGTCTGGTGGTGACGTGCAAATCTTTACTCCATAACAATTCCTGCCCACTTAAAGCACGCCACAAGAATTCATTGTTGATTTTTTAAAAAAAAACTTGGCATATTTTTTTTTAGAAGTATTTATGAAATATCACAGTTAAAGAAATAATTTATTAAATAAAATAATTTATATATGTTACCATTAAAAAACATGTTTTTTTATAACTTGTTACAATTTAAAAAATATTAAATGTATTGGAGAGAAAAGAGAGTAAAGAAAGAAAAAAAACAAAAAAAACATCAAAAACACTTTGAAATTTTGATTACAATATCACTAATATCTTTAAAAAATCTTGATGAAATGAATTCAATAATATTAAAAAATATTATCAATAATGATCTAAATGGGTCAAATTTATTGTTAAAAACAAGTGGTTCATCCTTCATCTTTAGATGACAAATGTTATTAAATCGAGTTATTATTGGTGATTTTTTTAGTGTTGTTAGATTTATCTCATCAAGATATTTTTATGATACTGATGATGTTATAATTAAAACTTTTATATGTCTTCATGATCTTTCTTTTTCTTTCTTGTTTTTTTTCACTCCTATGCATCTTATATATTTTTTTAAGGATATAAGTTATTTTAAATAACAATAAGTTATAAAAGTAATGCAAACTATGTTATTTTATTAATTTTTTAAACTCTGTTATTTCATAAAAACCTAGAATTCATTCTTACACGTACGTAAAGTCAAAAGGTGGAAAATTTGCGATGACAATTAGGGGGTAATTATGTAGCATACATCTCTCCTTCGTCTACCCTCTTTTGGCTGTTTAATGGATAGCAAAGCTTCGGTGAGATCGAATAGGGGTGCATGCTTCAGAGGCTATTTTTTCCTTTGTGAACTACTTTATTGAACCAATTATGAGAAATATAATATTGTTTTATCAAAAAGGATTTTGAAAAATTTGGGCCTTTGAGCTACAGTAGATATTGAAGTTCATTTTCACGCGGAGCGTTGGACAACAAAGCAGGTCTTGCAGCTTCATGAGCTAGTGAAACTGGAATCTCAAGTCATAGGTTATGAATTTGTCCTCCAAATTAGTGTTCTGTGTCCATAGATTCGATAATAATGTCACTCGAATGGTTAAACCCTCTGTAAACTATTAGGTTGGTGGGGAAGTTTAACGCTGGAACTCCGTCGTTACATCTCAAAACATGAGTGCATACTTTCCGAGAATTTGATCGCCCATCACTTTCGAACTTGGTATGATTAAACAAAAATAAAAAGGCTACTGTTTTGCTTAGATTACACAACTTCTCGATTGGAGAGGAGGAGACACCGAGACAGTGCACAAGTCCAATGTACATTTAATGCCCTGTATGGAGAGCTACGTCCGTCCAAGTTCTGCCTTACAAAATTTATTGTTCACAGTTGACCAAAGCCCCAAATTATGCATTGCGAAATCCTTCCGAAACTAAATATGTTTATCAAGAGAATCAAGTGAACAAAACAGGAAACATTACCCTAATTAATTGAATACAAGGTAGTAGCAACGAGTTAGGCCATACTAAAACCCTCTGTAGATAACAACGAAACAAGGCAAAATGGCCCTAGGATTAGATACATACAACTCGTCTAAATTAGAGTAAACCTCCATGCCAGTTGCTACTGAGTCATAATCCTCAGCATTTCCCTCCATGCTCTTCTTAACCCTGCCAGCAATCACCCTGCAAACCAGCATTGCCCTCCTTTCACTTTCACCATTGCCGTCCTCTGATATTGTGGCTTTGTCATGTGCCTTTCCACTTGTCGCTGTAGTCAAAATCCCACGCCCATTGTCATCTCGAGTGGTGGATTCTTTGAAGCCATTCTTGATAATGCTACATACATTACAGTTTGGAACTGAATTGCACAAATTTGAAGAGCCATTTAGGCCCAGTGAGCACGCAAAAGTGGTGCAGTGAAACCTGAGGAGCTCATTGCCGTCTGCTATGCAACGTGGCTGTTTCTTGGGAAGCTTGGTGGCCTTGGCTTTGATGGAGTCTCTGTACTCTTCAAACTTAGAGATGGTTCTCTGGGTATTATGGACTTTGAGGATGCGATCTATTTTGCAAACGGGGGCTTGTTTCTTTAGCCAGCTTGATTGGAAAATGATTTCTACTATGTTCTTGCTTGTGTCCTCTGAACTCAGTTCAGATACTGAAATTTGATTCCAAAATTAGGGAGTTAAGGATTTGAGATGGTAATGGTGCACATGCATGGATATGTGTGTGGTGGGTATTGAGAATTTTGAAATTAGTTTAAAACAATGCATTGAAATAAACGGAGTAATTAACTCATGAGCAACCAAAATATATTGGAATAATGGATGAAAAATAAGTTCCTTTTCAATAAACAATATCATGAACCACAAATACACTAATAGATAACTGAAAGTGAAAATAATGATTAAATGGTTGTTGGATGAACATGTATTAAGAGTTGAAGGAGATGGTGATGAGCTACCTGCATGTCTAACAGCCCGATGAAGCTCCAGATTTTCAGCTTTCATGAAAATCTCACCACATTCAGGGCAAGAACAAATGCTACCCCTCAAGGAATGGTCTCTGGCAATTCCAAGAACAGGATCCACTACCATTCTACATTCATAGCAACCAGAGAATCTACTGAATGGCATTCCTCTGAAAGAACTAACATTACTGCTGGAGAAATTGGAAGATGCAGAAAGTGAAGAGTTAGTTGAGGGAACAACCCCATTGATTTCATTTAAAGGACCTTTCATGGATCTGCTTGAAACATTTTTACCAGCTGAGCCCATTGAAGCCCTTTTCCTTTGGACTTCAATGGAAGCTGTTTCAGGCCTGTGCATGACCTTTGAGTTGCTGCATATTGAGCCTGAACACTTCATTTTCTTGCATTTCTTGCTTGTTTCCTCCAGCGACTGGTCTTGATGCTGGTTATGTTTTTTCTCCTTCTTTGATTGCTGCTGCTGATCTTGCTTTCGATGCTGTGGTTGCTTCTGTAGCTTTTGTTCCCGCTGCTGCTGCTGTGTTTGGATATGCTTGCAGCCAAAAAGGCCTCTCACAACAAACCATGAAGGTGGTTTTTCTGTTTTCAGGGGCTCTTGGCTTTGATTCTGGTTGACTTCCACGGTGGGTTTTCTGGAGATTTTTGGTTTAGCCATTGGAGGGCGATAGAATACTGAAGCTTGAGCTCTTTTGTCACATGAGGAGAAGCTTCCTTTTGTAGGAGATGTAGTTCTAGATTTTGGTGTTTATGGAGTCTTTGATATGCATGTGCAAACTGTGATTTATAGCAAACTAATAGCCCTGGGCATGACATTGTTCATGATGGAAATCTGACCGTTCATTGCATGGAGGAGATACTTGGATCAGTTGAAGAAGAAAGAGACATGGGCCCCTCATGTTAGATTACTACAAGGGTTCTGTTCTCTTTGTCCAGTAGGTTAGATCAGTACTTCAGCAGTTTGGGAAAAGTGGATGGTCTGCGCAAGAAAATCATCAATATTAAATATTGATTTACAGTTTCTGTTAGGTTATTACATCAGCAAATACTTCAAAAACATGGATAGAACGCCTTAGCACACATATTAATTAAAATTTGATACGCACGAGGCACAGAATTTACACAGAGAGAGATACCAGACGCTAGAATTCAAAGTTAATCAAAGCTTCTTCTTTTTTTTAAGTATTTTTTATTTAAAAATACAGCTATTTTTGTATTTTTTATTTAAAAATATATTAAAATAATATTATTTTTTAAAAAATATTTTTAATATTAGCCCATTAAAATAATTCAAAAATAAAAAAATTAATTTTGAAAAAATCAAATGTAAAAAAAAATACAATTTCAATTACATTTACAAACACACAAATTATATTCTAATAAAAACTTTCCAGCGTGGCTTGGTTAGTTAGCAACGAATTCATTTTTTTGCATAATACTTTATAACTATTATTTTAGAATATATTAGAAAACTATGTAAGTTTATTTGAAATTGCATTTCAAATAACTTTTAAAAAAATTTAAATTTTTTTTATATTTTAAAATCATTTCTATGTGTTAATATAAAAAATAATTTTTTAATAAAAAAATCAAATTAAAAAAATACAATTTTAATTACATTTACAAACACACAAATTATATTTTTAAATAAAAAAACTTTAAAAAATAATTACATATTCAGAAACTCTGTAACCAATAAACAAACGTGGCCGTTCACAAATTGTCCTGGTAAAATAATAGGTGTCTCCTGCTTACGGGTTGTGGCTAAACAATGATCAGATACAAGAGCAGATGGACGGTGTGGATGGCTCATCAAGAGCCTGAGCTTGCCTTATTGCCATCCCAAGGTGAATTTCTTGGCCTAAGCGCTGCGACGCATCATGAACAGGGCACTCACTAATTACGCCATAATGGTCCTTCTTACGGGGAAAAGCTGACTGATTCCCTTTGCCTCAAAATCATGCGAACACCCATATGCAATGGAATAAAGTTCTTTACTTTAATAATTCGTAACTATCAAAACTCAAGATTTCACCCCTCTTGTTCTCAAAATTACCAAACGGTCACCTGTAACTTTTCATCTTCGACATGTGTCCAGGACATAACGGAGCTCTAGCAAGTAGTAACCGTTACTAATATGAAATCTGGGAGTAACAATTCAGTTCGTGTGCTAACCTACTTGATTACTAGCCGCTAAAGCTAGGGCAACATCTGCTTTAGGTTTTGTAAACTTTTTCAACCAAACTTTAGACTGAAATTTACAAGTCCAACAGGTTTTTTAGTGGCAGCATGGTCTTTAAAATCTGATTTTCAAATGAGTTTTTATAATATCACGTGGATAGTATTAAATTATTAAAAAAAAAGTTGATAAATAACGCCTGTGTACCTTTGGGGAGCCATCCAGGGTTTGAATTTCGAATAAGCATACTCATTTGCTGCAATTAGGCTTGTTTTAAATCTATAAAAATAAAAAACAAATAAAAAGCTTAAAGCTAATGCTAACTTATCAGACAGAGATGACGATCCCATTGTCCCACTTGAAAGGAGAATTGGTGGATTCTGAGCTCATAAAACATGGAGCAATTGGCTTTCATCAAGGTTTATATATATATATATATAGGAAGCCGTATCATATGAAACTATATGCATCATGCATGTTGATGCATGGAATAAGGTTATTTGATATATAAATACTAGTTAATTAAATATTTATGTTAATATTTCCTTTCTCTTGGTCTAAAAAGTATATCAGTCATTGACTCATCAAATTCCTGAATCAAATTCTTGAAGATTTGAGCTTAGTTGATTAAACTCAAATATATTAAATTTGATAACTTATCAAATCCATGTTCAATTAAGTTACATCTCATTATAGGTCTGGGCTCTTCCAAAACAAAGAAATATTAAGTAAAGAATATTAACTTATAACATATTACTAATAGAAAATTCTTGCTATAACTCCATTTAGGTATATTAAATATATATTGATGGTGAGAGAATGGGGCAAGAATTTATAAGATTGAATTGAAGTTTCAGCTCTCATAAAAATCCTTCTTTAATTTTTAATGGGTCACCAGTCAAGTTCATGATGAATTTCATTTTAAATTTAAATTGAAATTTTATATTAGATTTGAGCTTTTCATGATTGCATATTGCAATGAGATATTTGGATTTGATTATTTTATACTTTTCTAAAATAAGTTTTCTATCAAAATAGTGAATCCTTTGATATTTAAATCAATAAATTAGATAAGAGAAATAATATACAACCAAGAAAATCAAAGCTTAAAAAGGTATATGTTCATATGTTTGAAAATTATGTGATTGTATTTGATGTTATATTATGAACTATCTAGTTACTTTGTGACTCGAGATATTTATACATCTCATCACATAAAATCACATTATGAGCGAGAAGTTACAAATGGCTATATAAAGTAATGATGAGAATAATTATGTAAATACCATATGAAAGGGTTAGTGAATATAAATGATTGACAAGAAAAGTTATCGTTGTATTAATAAGATTGCGCCATATATATATATCGTTGTTGATGAAAAAATTAGACACCATATTGATTCTTTAAATATTGTAGTACTTTATTGTGGTGTATATATCAACACTGACTCTCTAAAAATTAGCTTAGGATTTAAGTAGAGGCTCACAGCTTAATACACACACTCACATAGATACACATCTTATATTATTTAATTTTTAATAAAATAAATATTTATTATTGAAAATTTGTTAAAAAAATTGTTCAGGCATTTAGGTTTAGTGGCTCAATAAGCCTAAGCCTTTTAAAATTGGGCTCAAAAGGGCCAATTGTTACTCCAATGAACAATATAAAGGCTCAACTTGCCCGATTCTATTTCCTCTATGGTTTTGAGCCTGTCCAGTCCTGAAATGCAATGGATCTTGCTTTGCTTGTACAAAAACTCCTTTTAAGACAAAATCACGGAATCTGCCCATGTTCTTACAAAATATGATGTGGCATCTCATTGTATACAATTTTTTCTAAATTATAAAATATGAATCTTATGATCACATTATATTTACAATATATTTTAAATTCCATATTAACTATTTAGATTTTTCATTTAGCATTTGCCATAAAAATACTCTTAGGGGTTTGGAGAAAGCTTTTGGGTTTTCCCCTTAGAAATCCACGTGTTAGAAAGCCCAGTATTAATATTAGCCTTAGGTGGTTTATAGATGAGAAAAGGTTAGGGGCCCAATAAAGGCCCAAATGCAGAATTGAGTCGAGAGCGCCAACAAGTCATTTCGAAACTTAAGACGCTCCTCTCCCCCCCTGTCTGTGCTGGCTTTGGCAGGATTGGAAGAGCGAGTGTGGTTGGTTCCACTCTCTGTTTGACACACGAACACCCGCACTCCAAAGTTCTCATGGACATCACACAAACACTAATTCCACAAATTAAAATCTTCATTTTGCTCTTTTACTTCCGAAATCACCCCTCTCCTTGACGGAAATGCTGTTCAGATCCGGTCATGAACAGGGAGGCTAACCTTCCGGTCCCATCTGCACCTCCGCAAAGAAATCTCTTTCGTCCCGTCACCAACGCCGCAGACACGACGTCTTCCTCCTCCTCATCCTCCTCCCCGCCGGACTTTCTCCGGCATGTCCAAGCCGCCTTCAAGCGCCACCGCCCCCTTGGTACCACCGCAACTCTCCATCGATAACTTTTTTTGTGCTTTGTGTCTCTCTAGACTTTTCTTTTACTAAGAAATTCTGAAAGCTACTGCTCAACTTTGGCACATTTGTTTATTTGTTGTCATTTACTAAAAAGCTAAATGAAGGCTTAATCCAGGAATCCTGATTACCATGTCTGTTGGTGATTCTGTTATTAAAATGGAATTAACTTCTTCAATATGGATTCTTTTTTATTTGTTTTGAAAACTGTGAACTTAATGCTTTAAAAAATGAAATAACTGTTGAAGCTCTAAATGATTGATATGCTCGTTTTAGGAATAATGCAGACGAGTAATAGCACAAAGCCTAGACGTACGTTAATTCCAAAACGTGAAGCGTCAAGAACTGTAGCTTCAAATGTGGGTCCAACCACAGGCACGAAGAGCTCTCAAGATGTTGTTCCATTGAGTAACTCAAATTTGCCAAAAAAGAATCCAGTTACTGTTATCAGGGAAAGTCATGAAGATGCGTCAATCACACCTCCTTCGTTTCCTGGAACAATCACGAATACGTTTGATGAGAGTTTCAATCCCTTTGATGCACAGAGAGAGCAGCCAAAATCTGCTATCGATACTAAAGAGAATAATCCGATGCCCTTGACATGCATAGAATCTCAACTCGTTGAGGGTAAGAGAAAAGTCCAGTTTTCGACAGTGAACAACACCATTTCCCAGGGTAAGATGCTGTTCCTTGCTGTTTTGAGTTGTGGTTTGAAAGTTGGTTTTGCTGGATTAGTTGTTTGTCTGTCATCTAATTCGTGATGCTGTGACAGAAGTTTCTAAATTTTTTGCTCTAGAAATATATGCTCTGTTATCTTCTAACATGCAGGGGCCGATAATGGAATGGCCACTGGATTGGAGAACTTAACTTCTCATATGGGTTCACTTGCATTGACAGAAATGGAATGGGATGTGAGCAATCAAGTAGAGGTGTCAAATGTGATCAATGACGAAACAAAGCAGCAGAACATGGAATCAGATCTCACTTTGAGGTCTGATGGAGCTGTACCATCACTGGCAAAGAGAACAATGGTTATTCAGAATCAGTTGCATCAATTGAGGAACTTTTTAAGCCAACCAGCCACTCAATCTTCTGTTGTTGGACCATCTTGTGCTACCACAACATCTGTTCATTCTACTTCAGCACCCATGCTTAACTCGATGACATATTGCTCTCGTGAGAGTGGTTCTCAAGCTGCAGTCGAACCTTTGAGGGATTCTAATGCAAATTCTCATAAGTTTACTCCAGGGTGATAGACCTTTCATTTATGTGATAGACCTGCATTGAATTTGGAGCAGCTGTCACATCCTTCATTGAAGGACACAAGTGACATGCTAATTGACCTGAGAGCCGCTGCAACCGGGCCCTCTACCTCTGCTATCCATTCCCAATTTAAGGACCTGCCTAAGGAGCAACAGGGAGGTGTGCCTGAAGTAAGTAACATTGCAAACAATCCTTCACTTGTTGTTGAGAGGTCCACTAAGGATATTGAACCAGCAGATGATGGTGCTGATGTACAATCTCAGCCTCCAGTGTCCAAAAACCCATCTTCAGATGTGAAGTTGGAGCCTCCTAAACATGAAAAACACGAAAAAGTTTCAAGTAGTAAAGGTGCATCAGTGCCTCGAAAAAGGAATCTTGACCCTGATTTGTTCTTTAAAGTTAATGGGAAGCTCTATCAAAGGCTTGGTAAGATAGGAAGTGGAGGAAGCAGTGAGGTTCACAAAGTCATTTCATCAGACTGCACAATCTACGCACTTAAGAAAATCAAGCTCAAGGGTCGTGATTATGGAACTGCATATGGTTTTTGTCAGGAAATTCTTTATCTAAACAAATTAAAGGGGAAGAACAACATTATACAGTTAATAGATTATGAGGTATTCACTTACAGCCTTAAAAGAATCATGCACTAATCTCCATGATTGGGCAGTATTTTTGCAATTCTTATTATCAAGTTCTCTCTGTTTGTCCAATTTACACGAACTCGATACTTTGTGGTTGCAACATAGGTGCTTTGAGATATCATTACAGAAGATGATAAATCTTGTCTCGGAATAATATATCTTCTATACTTGAGCTTGGTGTTCCTTTTTCTTCTCATCAGAATCCATATTTCCAAGGCATGGCATCTATTCTTGCTTTATTTTTGTCTAGTCGATCCCTAATAGTCTCTTTTGGATTTAGGTGACAGATAAAACTTTGCTCCACGAAGTCATGAGTGGCTCTGTAAATAATAAAGATGGAATAGTCAAAGATGATGGGTGTATATACATGGTCCTTGAATACGGGGAAATTGATTTGGCTCACATGCTGTCCCAGAAATGGAAGGAGATGGATAGCTCCAACCAGACGATAGATGAGAATTGGCTTAGATTTTATTGGCAGGTCTTTGGGCTACACCTTATTTTGCTTCATAGTTGCAGTTTGGTTATAGCAACATTCTATAGCTTTTTCTCATAGTAAGCTTGATAGCTATAGCTACTAATCTACATATTAGTGTCTATTGCTAGAAGGAAGTCATTGTAGACAGGGGGGGACAATGTTTCTTTGTTTCAATGAAGGATTGTAATGGTGCCTCTGCTCTCATTCTTGAGACTTGGTCTGCATCATGGCGTGGGTACTGGATAGGTTTCTAATGTTGGCATGATGTTGATTAGTGGCATTGTTTGGATTTCCATCTTTCTCTCATATTTTGCATCGAAGGGTATTGGCATGGATGAAGAAACACATTTGTTTTATATCACTGATGTAACATTGTTTTCACAGTATACTATCAAGTAGCAAATTTACATCGTCTTCAAAACACGCATTACTTGTTGGTCTTGTTCATAGTTAATTAAACGGCAACGGGGATTGACATTGTTTTGTTCAAATATTTTGCAGCAAATACTTCAAGCTGTCAATACCATACATGAGGAACGTATCGTGCACTCTGACCTGAAACCTGCTAATTTTCTTCTTGTCAAAGGTTCTCTAAAGTTGATTGATTTTGGGATCGCCAAAGCCATAATGAGTGACACTACTAACATTCAAAGGGATTCACAGGTAGATTTTACTTATCCCTCACATTTAGTTGTCCAAACTAGAACCTGTTTCTTCGCTTAAAATTAGTTTTTATTTGTTTACTTAGTAGTTTAGAATTGTTTTTTAATGATTAATAATGTCATAAAAAATAAGTTGAAAAATATTTTCTAGTGTTTGACTATACCATGAAAAATAAGATAAAAAATATTTTTAATTTTTTTCAAGTTTATTAAAAGAATAACGGTTAAATTTAATAAATAAAAAAATTAAAAGAAAAAAATTCATAAATTATTTTTAAAAAATAAATAACATTTAAAATAATAAAAACTAAATTTGACAGAAAAAATAAATAAAAAGATGATGAAATTAAAAAAAATATTTTATAAATTATTTTAAATAAAATAAATAACAATTAAAAAAATAAAGATTAAATTTGATAGATAAAAAATTTCAATTAAGAAAAGGATAAGAGAAAAAAATAATAATAAAAAAATGAGGATCAAAGTTATAAAAATCAAATTCTAAATGATAAAATTGAAAAAAAAATATTCAAAACAAAATATATAAAAATTAAAAACTAAATTTGATATGATCATTAAATAGCAAGATATTTTTTAATTTTTTTGCTATTTTTGCAAATGTTTGCCATCCAAAATAAAAGAAAAAAAATATTTTTTTAAAAATCAAATTATATTTTTTTTAATTAAAAGATATTTTTTATTCACTAAATTTTTTTAATGGTAAACAAACAAAAAAAAAATAGAAAGTGATTTTATTAGAATGCTTATTTCACCTTGTTGCCCATCCATGTCTGACCACTTGTTGCCACTTCAGAATCTCTTTTGTTCTGAATATTTTTGGATAAAGAGAAACCTGTGAAAAATACGATTGCCTGCCAGTGGAAGGCTTTCTGCGTTCAGTCAATCTACGCAGGGTGAATCGGTACCCAAGGAACCCCTAAAAGGGCTGCTGTCCGAATGGTATACAAAAGCGACGAAGTTGCTTTGACTACAGAAAGGAGGGGATTGCTTATATGTCAATTTAGCTTATTTCAAAGGCTTTTTAGTTGGTACTATTTTGCTTAGTGGTTCATAATCTGTTTCTGCAGGTAGGTACCCTAAGCTACATGTCTCCAGAGGCATTCATGTGCAATGAGAGTGATACTAATGGAAAAACCATAAAGTGTGGTCGGCCATCAGATATTTGGTCCCTCGGCTGTATCCTCTACCAAATGGTGTATGGAAGAACCCCTTTTTCTGCGTACAAAACATTTTGGGCCAAGTTCAAAGTTATAACGGATTCAAACCATGAGATAACTTATGAGCCAGTTTCCAATCCATGGCTTCTTGATCTTATGAAACGATGCTTGGCTTGGGAGAGGAACGAGAGATGGAGGATCCCTCAATTACTCCAACATCCTTTTCTTGTGCCACCAGTACCGACTCAACAATCTGCATCTCAGAATCAAGGTTGTGAACTGCTTCAACTTGTTGCAGAAACTTGTGGCAGTGACCAAGAAGCTTCTATGCTGTGCCATGAGCTCCAACAATTACTTAACCCAGGCACCCTCATATCCGAGTCATTAACATCACGAGACCAACAATGCAAGTTGCTCTCCCAGATGTCTAAGCTTTGTTTTCAGCTCCGGGAATGTTTAGCAAAGTCAGAGAGATTTTAGGAATAGTTCCAGGTGTATAAATCCATGTTTGAGGTAGGCAGTCAACTCCGGGAAGCTCTTCTCTTCGGGGAATATGAGAAATCAAGGCCGTCCTACCCTTTATAAGGTGTAATCATCCCTGTTGTTTTATTTTGACTTCGAACAGTTGTATTGAACTCCAATTCTTTACTTGTATGTATCTCCTTTACGGGCCCGATGAATACACGCAGTGTGACATTGGATGTAATCTTTCACATATACTTTGAGCAGCATGCATGACTTGATTCTCGGCTTAACTGGAATAGTCGTTTCTCGTGGATCTTCTAAGACATTTTGCAACACATTGGCTAGGTCAACAACGAGCAAGTAACGATAATATATAAACTTTAAGTGGTTAGCCGGCTGTTCCCTTGTCACACAATTTTTGCATCCTACAATTGATTGATTGTGGAAGGCCCTGGAAAAAAACGAGAGCCAGTTGTGAGCTCCATGATTACCATGTAGCCAGAGGTGAAATACGAACTATGGAATGTTAACTGAATGCTTCCGTGAAGTCCCCTAATAAAGGCGTACCCGAAAATCTTGGTATCCCTAGCATTATTCTTGGTCAATAACAACATGGTTCTAGATGTTCAATGTTCGAAGGGAAACAGGGATGATAAAAATTACAGTTTATGAAAAAAGAGGGTAAGAACACCCTGAAGCTTGGAGCATAGACTCCCAGTTTTGAGCTTGTGAACCGGGCAGGGAACTTCAAAAACGAATGGCAGAATCTAGGCGTAGCGTGACTGATCGGCAGAATCTTTTTCTTTTCTTTTTTTTTTTCCTGAAAGGATTATAGCGGTAGGATCCAGTTCGCAGACTGGAATAAACCGACATTTCTTTTCATCCATTCAAGGCATGTAGTACATCAGCTATTTATTTATGATCCCCACTGAAAAAACAATAATAAAAAGAGAGAGGATAAAGGAGGAGACACAATGAGATGCCTCGTGTAAGAGAATCGCAAGCTTTAAACGACAAATAACAACTTTCATTTTCATATTTGTATAGGCGACAGTGAGGCATCTGTGTCAAAATTCATCTCTGCCAATCACAGCAGCATATAAAGATGCAAAATCCATAACCACAGCCCCAACTCTCAAAATTGGACAACTTTCCCGTGGTAATATTTCCCACGTGCCCATTTCTTTCCTTTATAACACAATGATATAAGACTTGATCCATGAAAAGATTGCTGGAATTTTCGAAGCATGTCTTCTCTGCATCATGCTAATTACCTTCCAGCATTCCTTGCCTACGGAGACATGATATAGTTCTGATCAGTCTGAACTGCCTCTACCCATCATTTTACAAAGTCTAAGCTGTAGCATGCTCTCTTCTACATGAATAGTGAGAATGCTTGTGTCTACCGAACAACCCCCACAGATAATACTTTCCCCGATATCCTGCAAAAAGATCATTCAAGCATTCATTCAGTTCAATGAGAAGAGAGACAGACAAATATAACACGTAATGGCAGCAAAGCTTACTCCAGTTCTGCAAAGGTAATTGAAGAGATGTAAAGACCAATAATTCTACATGCTCAAGAACGGCTTTCAAGGCAAGGTCTTGTTCAATTATATTATCTACTAACTCATCAAAGGCTCGTTCATCTCTGCAGCAATTGAAGAGAGGGAAAAATGTTTCAAGAAATTAAAACAGGATATAACTCATCTAAGGTCTTGTTCAATTATATTGTCAGAAATGGAACCTCTCTTTTTCCGGGAAGAAATAAAGGCCAATATCTTCAGCTGTTACATCTGAAGTACCAAACTTTTTCGGAAACACTTCATGCCTAGGAAGCATTTCTATAGAAACACATCCTGGCAACAAACTAGCTGTCTCGCGAACTTTTGGGGATGCTTGGTTAGATGTATAGGCCACCAGTCCATTCATAACATCAAAATTTCCATCTTTGATGGTAAAATTTCCCCTGCCAAATTTGCAAAGAGAATATGTTAAATGCTCTGTACAAGTTAAAGAATACACCTACCCCACCACAAAAAAAAAAAAAAGGAAAACACCCAAAGGAAGGAAAGGAACATGACAAAATAAAAAGAGAACCCGATTTTCTTACCTCCATATGGGATCAAGAATTGGCTGTGCATTGGTGTTGAAATCCCGATCTAAAATTTTTGGCAGGTCAGCAGTGCTATTTTGAGAGGCCTCTTTTTCAATACAATTTACAGCTTCATTTGAGCCACCCCCAACATCCAGAATCAATCTATTCTGATCACTTAAGTTCTGATCCTGTGCACAACTCTCACTGCCAGACAGTGTATTCATCTTCTCCTCAAAAGGTTGCTGTACATTAACATGGGAATCACGGTCTGAAATTTTGGGCAGATCACTCTTGCCATTTTGAAATGAATCTCTTTCAACAGTTAATACCTCTTCATTCGAGCCACCCCTATCTTCTACAATCATTATACCATGTTCTCTCGTTTTTTGATGCTCATCAGAGCTCTCACCCCGGGCCAGTGTTCTCCTTTTGTCCTTATGAAGGTGAGAACAGTCCGATTCTTGATCATTTGAGTTAGTCAAGCAAACCCTTTTAGCTGCCTCTGCCTCTGCCTCAGCAGATTGCAAAGAGGGACCCCTTTTTAGTCTCTCTACCTTTCTCAGAGCTTTCAAGAATGCATCTGATGCCTTCCATTTCTGTTTTCTTACAATTTTAACTGCTTGATCACTCGTTAATAATTGGGTATAACTAGAACTGTCCACGGTATTATTATGTCCGCCATCATTCCCAGATAAACAAAACCAACACGTCCAAACCACATCCTCATCAAAATCCTTGGGAACAACATCTAAGCAGTAGCTGAATAATATAAAAAGGGAAGCACAGAAGTTACTAAAAATACACAGATGATTTCGTGTAGAGTCACAACATAAGTAATAAGCAGCAGCAGTGATGATATTCAATTTATGCCAATTCTTTCCTTCTATTTTGGTTGCTTCATTTCTGGGTCTCAAATTGGCATCAAGTTTAGACAGTAAGACATTTAGAGCTAACAAAAATCAATCTAATCATACAATCAAATAAAGGCAGACAGGAGGAAACTTACGTGTGTTCAGCAACAACTTTACACTTTACACAGTAATTTAGAGCCTCCGGATAGCCACGATCACCGCACTTTTGACAAACTGTATTCTGCAGCAAGTCAACAAACATATCAAACAACTGAGCCGCAACATTGCCTTTACACAACAACAAAAAAAATGCTGAGATAATCATTGCTTAACGTTGCACTCGTTTAAGGCAGGCAGGTCGGCGAGACTATCTTGCCCTAAAATGTCCATAGAGCAGGTCTCTTAAGGTTAGCTTGCCCTAAAATGACTCCAGGAAGCCAGAATCCCGCATCGTATTAAGGTGAAGTACTTGTGTGTCATGATACGACATGGGCATGGTATCTCGTACGATCTAAAAAAGAGAAAACTCAGTTTGATAATTATTGCGGTGGGAAGGCTTGCAATCCATTTAGTTATAATACAGAGATGGTGGTTTTGTAAAATCTAGAAACACAAGGGAAGCCAGATCCAGTCCAAAGAGAAAGAACGAGTAGGATTGGCTATATGTAATCAAATCCATATGAAAAAAAATAATAATAATAATAATCATTGAAAGAGCGGGATTAGGATGTAACCAAAAGGTAAAGCAAGGAAAGACGAGAAGAATGATGACTCAAAAAGGTAAAACTAAGAAAATTACCATCGAATGTTTCTCCACAGGAACCACTTGCATTTGCCTTGTTGCTTAAGAGATTGAAAGAGAGGATTTGGGTTGTCAGCCCATCTGATCCGAGTCTTATCAAGTGATGCTCATCCATTCTCTTGGAAATCCTAAGATCACAAGGGAAAAAAAAAACAAAAAACCACAATAAAATCCATTCTCTTTTCGCCACTCTCTCCAACATGTTTATTTTTGTATTTAAAAAAATTTAATTTTTATTTTTTTACTTTAAAATAACTTTTTAAAATTAATTTAAAATATCAAAAATAAATTTTAAAAAAATATTATTTTAATATTTTTTCAAATAAAAAAACTTAAAAAATAATTACTTAGCTCTTAAACAATCCATTGCTCTTAAGTCACCCAGCCGCTGAGATAAAGAGCGTATTTCACGCGCTCGGCAGGGGGCGCTGACGTCCCAGACAATGAAGCGATTGGCGCATGGAAAAGTAAAATCACAATGATGCCTCCATGGAATATGAAAATGACTAGTCAATTCGGATGATCTTGCAACTTTAAATTAATAGATGATCAGACGTCAACTCATCTTCCTTTGATTGGATTCTAGTTCTAGTATGGATTTTCGAACATTAAATTTGAGTTCGGATTTCATTAGAAATTCAAGTGGTTGTTAAGTAATGCAGGCATGCATTCAAAGATTTTAGCATTCACGCAGTAATTTAAAGCTCTAATAACCTGTTTAATATTATGATAAATATTATTTTTAAAATTATTTTTTACATCAAAATCTCCAGTGAGTCAAAACATTAGATGAGGGCTGGCCAGCAAAGAAGAGAGTTAAATCAAATTGAGTGCAGCAACGCAAGTTGTTGGCAGAGAAATGGACAAATGGCTCTCAGATGCAAAGTTGATGTAAGAGATTACGTATAAAGCAGAGCTGTGCGATCAAGGTAAATCCGCTTCTCAAAATATGACTGAACAGAGCACACAGAATCATTAAGAACAAGCTCATCGAGCAAAGATAGCAGCACGCTACTCATCTTTCGATGAAAGATTGTAAGAAGCCTCAGCATGTGCTTCGTCCAACTTCATCACGAGTTCTTTCATGAAGGGACTGTTTGTCCCATGAGTAATTCGAAGTATATCCACAGCCCTAGTCAGTGACTTGATAGCATCTTCTGTGTAACCAAGCAACCTGTAACACAAATAACAGTAGTTCAGTGCATCTGAGCCAGTGACAACAACAGCAACTACTAGTCTAAACTCCACAAGTGTGGTGCCATTGAAGATATTTCTCAAAAAAGTATGAGTATTCTTTGACGTGATTCTCTCTTGTTTGTACATGGGCATGGGGTGCAGCAGTTAAATTATGCACAACAAGATTTCTTCACTATATCTTGATTACGCCAAACACAGTCCATTCAGTTCTTGGTTTCTAGCATACAAAAAGCGAAGAGATTCCATGAATCATTGCATAGTACAGGATCAGAAGTCAGACAGCAAGAAAATTTCAAAAAGAAATGAGAAGCATGTGCCAATCTTAATCGGCCCCATTTCTTATGCCAAATTACAATATCTGTCGCCTACAGTATTGAATTGTTAAACTGGTAATTGATTTTGGTCATCCATTACTAAAAGGGTTAAGCTAAAGAAGATTGCGATACACAATCTGCCGGACGAAGACAGTGTGCCGGTCACTGTAACTGTAAGTTCTACGTGCCCAAAAACGACTTTGAACCTCAAAGCCATATTTCTGACAAGATAGGATTGTCAAAGCATGTAAAAAATGAATCAAGAAAAGGGAGGGGGGGAAGGGGTTCGAATTATAATAATAGAATCTAAGAGGTATAAGGGAAAAAACTAACCACTCGATTTTGCCACAGGTATAATACTGCAACCCAAGCAAAGGATGAAGCTCTGGATACACTCCTGCAATAGGACAGGGAACAAAGTTTAGGATGTCAGCAGTAATCCAACTTCAGCTCTGCAACTCGAAAATGGAAAAAGATGGGTTACATGGACAGAAGGACCCTGTGTAAAAGAAATAAACCTGATATCAAAGCACTACAATATGATTGTAAGAAACTAGTCAACCAACAATGAGTACCTCAGAGTATCCAGGTCCAAGCACAGAATATAAGAGCTATGTTTCTGAATTAAGCTTAATTTTTTTGCTAGCTTTCAAGGCTGGCGTAGATAGTTTTACAAAATATTGAAGCTTGAGTTTCCAAGGCTTAAAGGAACAAGCCTTCATGTTACCTTATTAGACAAAAGTATCCCATTTCCATTTTTAAAAGCCAGAGAATAATTAAAATAAGCTTTAATATATTTGCTATCCAGAACTCCAATTGACGAATGGCATACTTTGATATCCAGTAATGGTCAATCTGCAATATGCCAGAGCTTCTCTCCAATCTCCTAGCTCCATCAAAATCTGAAAAGCCAAATAACACATTTCAGCACAAGCATTTATTTAACATTTACACAAATTGCTTCAAACACAGAACTCAATGTTGGTAAGAGAACAATCATTAAAAAGAAAACACACCTAAGGAAATACCTTCAGAAGTTCTTCTTGAGTTCGCATCAAACTAATTGAAAAAGGATGGCACAGCTCCATTTGAAGTTTCTCAATCATCTTATATATAGAAATCACTTCCTTGTGATCTAAAGTTAGTTAAATATCAAACTCTTGTTTAATTTTGTCAAATGTAAATGGAAGTATCGTTTCAACAAAGAAAAAAAAAAAACAAAACATAGCAATGGAAAGGTGAGAAGTAAATCCATAATGTAAAGGTGAGAAGCAAATCCATGTAACCAAATGGAAAATAAAGAATTACATGAAAAGGATACTTCCAGGGGAAGTAGACTTAAGTTTCTTGTCTGAAATTGCTGTTATTTCACATACAATCCTTTTTACCTCTTCCTTGCTCCTAAGAAGGCCACAAGTTTGGCATGCAAATCCTTTGTCTTCTGCCATACCCAAAAAGAAAAGAATTAAAAAACGGTGAAGCTCGTATGATTGACATGACAACAATATAATCATATACCAGAATCACGTAGCAAAAAACCATTGCATCTATCATCTTTGCATCTGTAGCCTTCCAGAATCGCATTTTCTTGGATATCATCATGCTGACCCTTCAACAGTATGCAAAAATTATTAGCTGGCAACAAATGTTTGTGTATGTGTGTTCATGCATATGGTGGAGCCTCTTATTTTCAGATTATCACAAGTCCGCTTTAAAAACAGATTTCATTACAGAAATCACTTAGATTTATCAAAGAGGAGTAAAAAATCAGAAGAATTTGATATGCCATTTCCTCATAATATTTTTTCCATGCAAAATATTTTATGAGGGAAAGATGAAGACAAGCCTAGCATACTTTACACATGCACGTGTCTGCTGCATTCTTATAAATTTAGGCCAGGAGGGTACCACTTTGATGCAGCGGGTACATGTGCAAGTGAAAAAGTACTGTTCTTTGAGAGCCTTTTGCCGAGTCATAGTGCTTCCAGCAGTGTCTATGTAAGCTATCGACACCTTAAAAGAAAAACATAACAAATAACATTAGAATCACATCAATAAAGTATTTAAGAATTTAGAGACAATTTGCATTCTAATGCCAATTTACACCATAGCTAAATGTTCCAAGCAACATGTTTTCCAGAAAACAGCAGAAGCAGATAAAAGGAGGGTTTAAAGATACAATAAAGTTCATTGAAGCTTCAAAGAAGCTAATCCTAACCAGCAGGTAACAACTCCTAGCATCCTGTGTCAAGGAATCATCATTTTTATTTTTTTCCATATAGACATCATAATAGGCATGGCTCAACCAACCTGACAAAAGTTGTCACTGCCACTGCTTCAGATATTGGTAAAAGAAAATGTGAAGTCGCTTTCTGGAAGTCTATATGGTTTCAAACCTCAAATGGTTTATGTGCCTTGTGAGCAGTCCAATACAAATCCAGAGGAACTAACAAACATGCAAATAAGATGCAGGTTTATCTTATTCATAATTTTATCAAAGGTGATGAACAGACTATAATGATGTAGTGTTTGCTCAAGAGAGGAAAAGAAGTGAAATTTAGATCCTCAAAAAAAACCTTCCAGCAATTCCCAACAAAATTGCATGGATTCATTTCCCTCGTTCCTATAACTAGATATTTGTGTGTCCTTTGCAGACCAAATTATTCCTATTTGTGCAAGAAAGAACTATGAATTCCTATATTTTTAATACCTTCATAATCAGAAGTATTTTTCCTCTCAAACATGCTTTCCCTCCTAACCACACAATTTCAGTCTTGATATGTCCTCTAACATGACTAATAAATTGCTGCTGCCTGTTGTCTAAGGTCTTACAACGTCTTCAGCATGGTTCTGTATTCAGAATTAAGTCCCAATCCAAATCTTGAATCCCAAATTTTGCATCGGATGTATTTTCAATATCCACCCATATTCATCTCTGCGTTACTGACAATAACAGTCCCTTTGAAGCAACTGGTCACTAGCAAATGCTTAGAGTTTTTTAACATATAAACTGGTGCAGAACAGGAATTTTTTTTTTATATATAAATAAAACAGGATTAAAATCCCTGAGACTACACTGTGATGAACAATTAAAACAACTATATATTAGAATAACCCATTCACAGCTCTAGCATTTTCTAAGCCTTGGGTTTCCCAATAAATTTTTACATGATCATCAAACAAGTAGGCCTGGGCAAACCCAACTAATCAGTTACCTCTTACAGTTCTTCAACTAATGTACAAAGTACAATGATTAATAGAAAGCACAACTTACCTCTGCTCCTTCTGGTATATGCTCTACAGCTCGAACAACAGATGACTTTCCCTCAAATATCAACACGGCATTGGGCAAGCAGCTGCAAGCACCAGAATGAATTGGCAAACCAACAACTAGGAAAGATGACAAGTTCACAGTATTTCACTAATAATTACCTGTGGTTGATAATGGATACAATAGGATAGAGTCCTGTGCCTACAGGTCTGAGTTCACAGTCACAAATGGTATGGGCATTGCATGCCAGCTGCATTTCATTGTGGAGGATCAGATGCCAAAACTAAGTATCAGAAAAGGATTCAAATGGAGGTTTGTCTCAGTGCATTACATAGAATCACTTTCCATTTCAACTGCAATCCGCATGAAAATAAAACATAGGATCACTTTTT